AACCGTAACGTTATGAAGCGACGAGAATCATTTTTGTTCGCGAAGAAAACAAAAATAACGACTTTATTCAACAATTCGTCTCCTCTGTGTCTCGCCGCATCGCCGTAGCGCCATTTAGGAGAATATCCGCTGGACGCAAGCAGCGTACGCTATTCTGTGTCAGCCGCACTGCACGGACGCGCTGTTTTCATTCAAATCAAAGCGTAAATACACGTAGAAAACGTATCCTTGTGTCGCGGCTGCCACAGAATAGCGTACGCAGTTTGCATTCAGCGGATATTCTCCAAATTGGAGCTACGGTGATGCGGCCCAAAGACGAACGAAGCTTTTACGGGTTTGGAACGACATGGGGGTAAGTGATTACTGACAAAATTTTCATTTTGGGGTGGAGTAACCCTTTAACCTGTTCACGTTGTCCTCTGCCTAATTTGGTTACTTATACAAAGTTACACGTAATTGGATGTTTTACCTTTGACATCAGCAACAAAATAATAATTATCAAAAACAAAATAATGATTATAATTATTATTGTTTCTCTTCTCTTTAACATAATAAAAATATTCATTTTGCTATCCTATGCAATTATCATGTACAGGGCAGGGGCCCCTGGGCTTGAGGTTATGTTTGGGCTCTATACCTACACTACAAATGCCCTCAAATAGAACATCATTATGGAGTAACACAAAATACACAAACATATGCTTTGAGGTTCATAAATAGTACAATTAATATGCAACATGTCTAGGCTATAGTCAAAGTTTAAATGTAATATTAAATATTCATTATAATATAATACACAGGATGTGTTCTCTCAGTTGAGAGATCAAATCCCTGAAATAACTTTGAGCAAAAAAAAAAAAACCCCAGAGATGTTGGCTTATTAGTATTATAAAAGTTATTGCCATATCTGTGTCCTCTTATGCCAGGTTCTTATTTAATCAATAAATTCAATCGAATAAAAAGACATGCTGGCTATTAACTTAACAATCAAATGAAATCACTATCAACAAAATTCATAGATGGATTGTGCATAAATGTTAAGTTTAAATATAACATTTTAATGTAGAAATATTAAATGATTGCAAAAATGAAATAAGCTACTTTTTTAAAATATGAAACTACAACCGCCAGTAGGTGGCAGCAAGTGAGTGAGTGAGTCTTAATGAGTGAGTTGAATCAACCGATTCGTTTAAAAAGCCGATTCATTTAACTTTGCAAACGACTGTACTCATAGCCTGATTGAATCATTTGCTGGTCCGTGTAACGCTTAGGAACAAAACACTGTTGTTCGGAGACGCAGCGGTTCTGCTGTTTGTTCTATTTTCTTTCTGACGGAACAAAACGGAATTTTGTGTCTGAAAGTTACTCTGTAAGTTGTTGTTTATTGTACATTTGCGATCGTGCAGATATTCGAAAAAAAACAAAAAACAGGACTCTTGTTTGTGTGATAGGCTAAGTCCTATATCATAGGCATAGCTATGTTATAAAAACAGAAACTCATTAAATTGCTTTTTTTTTTTATTTAAAATAATTTTGATGACATTTCTTCCCCACTATGTATAATGGCAGTAAGATGAGAGAGAGCGCTCAAAACTCATCCAATGATCGCATAATTTAGTGGAACATTAATATAGTAATATAGAATCATCCTCTGTAAAGTAAAGTAATCATAAATACCAGTTTACGTGGTTTGATTGTGGCCTCGAAGGTCGTAGTTGTAAGCTGTAGCCCCGGCTGGCCCATTTAGATCTTGCGCACGCAGTGGAAATGCGGCTAATAATTTCTGAATTCTGACTGGCATATAACGAAAAAATCAAACAAACGTAAACGGGCAAAGGCGGGGCCCCCTACAAGGCGGGGCCCATGGGCTGCAGCCCACTCAAGCCCAGTGGTAAGTCCGGCCATGAGCATGTATAATTGCATGGTTAGGTGCAATTTGTTAGAGTTTCCCTGTTGTCTGTGACCCTTTTAGTTCAGAAATGTGACCCATTTTTAAGTTGCAACCCACCAGCTGAGAACTGCCTTGTCCAGAATGATTAATTATTAAAAGGATACATTATTTAGTTTTTTATAGCATGAATGAGTTTGCTAATGCATCATTTTCTTTAAGAAAGCCATAAGAAACAGTTCACAAAAACTAGAGATACGTTTTCAGACACGTTTTTAATTTTTAATTCCCTCAGTTACTAGGGAGAGAGCTTGAAAGTCTCCAAAAATGGCTCTGAGATTGCCTTCACGGAATAAAGCTTTGGGCCGATCATGAAAACTTTTTGCTATTTTATTCAAATTTCTAATAAAATTACAGACATGAAACCTTAGCTCATGAATATTAGGTTATGCACAAATAATTTATCATGATCTTTTGGATAAG